GAGTACGTTTGTTACGGGTTCCTCTTTGGAAAGGATTCTAGAAGGGTTTTTCGGCTTCTACAAGAAGTTGTTCGGGCCTTCACTCTAGAATTTTCCTTAGGGCTAAAAAGCTTCATATGGCTACTGACTGGAACCCTAAACCCTATAACTGACGTTTCCGAGTTCTTCGGTTTTTACGGGGTTTGAACAGGCTAGGAAGGACGAGCTCCAGCAAGTGAGGCTTCTTGCGGAAGCTTTACTGAGTTCTTGCTAAGTGAGTTTAATTTTAAACTTAAGTTACCATAACAAGGACACCATATTTTTTGTTATAGATCCCTATGATGGCAACTTAAGTTAAATCCCTTAACACGAACCCAGTTTATGGGAGCCTGGATCCTACTATCTTTGAACAGCAGCCCCCCTGCCAATGTCGTCTACTTGTCAGTTCTGAGGTCAGGAACCGTAGACCCAGCCACAACTCCCTGGTTCTTCGTAGGGAATGGGGGAATGGATCCCTGTGATCGTCCCTTAAGGTCGCCTAAAGTAGTCACCAAAACTCTACTAAGAACCAGTCAGACAAAGGGACGACTTGCAAAATGGCTGTGCTCCACTTTCTTCATCGAGGCTATGCCTACTTTTCACCTGTTGAGGTAGGAACCTCCGAAACCCTGGCTCCTATAATTCCAAAAATATTCGGACTATTCGGACTCATATAATAAAGAGTCCCAATAAAAAAACCCAGGGTTTCGTTCCCAGGTTACATAAGCATTCCGAGGCAGGAGCTCGAATCTCAAGGACAGCAGCATCCAGTCCTGCCCAACGGAGGGATGGTGGCTTCAAGGTCTGAGTGTCGCGCCTGCTCTCTCTCCCCTAAGACCCTAAAATCCTAAACCCTAAAACCCTAAAACCCTAAGGCCCTAAACCCTAAAACCCTAAAGGCCTAAAGCACTAAAGCCCTAAAGCCCTAAACCCTATATCTCTCCCCTCTCTCTCCGTCCTTTCCTCTCCGATCAAAAAAAGCCCTAAAGTCCTTCTCGTGAGTACAGCGGCTACCCTCCGTGATTGATTGCTTGCGCCATAACATGACTGGACACGGAAACCCGAAAAGGTGGAATGCCCGTGCTCGCCTAGAGGCTTCAACCCTTTACCGCAAGATTTTGCTATGCTTTATAGCAAGTCTACACAGAGACTGTACGGGAACGCGACTACTTACCATTCAGAGATGACGGGGCCGAACTTGTTAAAACAGGAATCCTAATTTTGGGCCTACTGGTCCAGTATCACGGGGAGCTAAAGGATACTTTTGGGAGTATATGTTGGGAGTACCTCAAAAAGGTTAAAGGTTACCTACTCCACTACTAAGGTCGGAAAGCAGTTCAAAGCTCCCCAACTATGTCACTTTGAACTGTTCTCTGCACCCTAAACCCAAAACTCTAAATCCCTAAAGCCCTAACCCTAAACCCTAAAACCCTAAACCCTGAACACCCTAAACCCCAAAACCCCTAAACCCCAAAACCCCTAAACCCTAAAACCCAAACCCCAAAACCCTAAACCCTAAGACCCCGAAACCCTAAACCCCAAAACCCCAAAAGCCTAAACCCTACAACCCCAAAACCCCGAAACCCTAACTCCCACCCCCCCAAACTACTTGACTTGAGAGATCCTCTCCCGAAGCGCCTCGAAGGTAAACTCTGCAAAAAGCGGCTCCCCGTTTCCAAGGTCGGTAACATCCTCGCCGGGCTTCGGGATTTCTAGAGATCGGCATAAAAAAAGGGGCTTAGGGTTTCGGGCTTAGATAGCAAATAACAGCATAAAAAGGGTTAAAGGCTTTTGGGTTTAGATATCAAACAACGATAGATAGTCAAAGAATTGATTATGAACCCTAAACCACCCCTAAACTCTAAACCCTAAACCCCTAAGAGGGGTCCTTTTCCTGGTACTTCATAGTATCGACCGCAAAAGTCAACTCCATTCCAACCGACTCTGCCTGCTCAACGTACACCGTGGTTATCTTAGATATTGTTTCTCCCAGCCCTGAAGGACCGGATTGGGAGTGTGAATGCACATAGTCGTCCGCCCAGGAGCCGCATCCAATGGTCGCGGGAAGGTCTGGATAATGCCACGGCTCCGGGGCGACACTGGATGGCATGGCCGTGGCCAGTCCAGCCGACACCAGTGCTGCATCGGCAGCCCTGAAGTATGCACTAAAGGCGAAGCCAAAGAAGAGGTCCGCCAGGCCGTCGCCTGGCCGTGTGCCGCAGTGCGTCAAAGTCAAGGCGGAGTCCTTATCTAGACGGAACCATGTCCCTTGCAATACATCAACAGCTACCTTCTGAAGGTGTTGGCTGCAGGCTGTGGAAGACACGGATGCGAGGCTTTCCAAATGATCGCGCAGCTCTGTCACCGAAGAGGGAGGGATGTGCAAGCGGTGACCGTCTATGAACATAGGTGCACGCACACTGGTGCAAGCGGTGGAAAAGCTCATGCATAGCACTATCCGAGTCCCCTGCGGGCAGCAAAAGTTGACGTATCTATAGGTAATTATTTAGGCCCCTACATTACCAACGCAGTTCTGGAAAATCCAACTCCACGGCACTATCCAGGGAAACTACAATTGAGACTATTTCGGAGGGCAGAAGGTGGTGGCTGGCGCAACCCGAAAACCTTAAACCCTGCCCTAAACCCTAGACCCTAAACCCTCTAACCCAAGGGAAGACGAGAAGCCCGCACGCCACACATGCACGGATGGCGTGAAACCTGAACTCCTGCAAACTCCCCTTTGCTGAGGGTCCAGGATATAGGGGTCCCTATTGGGGTTGTGGGGGACATTTTCTCATAAACATGTAGGGGCTGTAAGGGATGCTATTTCACATGATTCCGACCGACCCCTATAATATGAGGGACCCTGATTTCTTTGACGCTCAGAACTCCAAGAATGTGATTGGAGGGGCTTCGGTTTTAGGAGCGACCGTTTCTTATGACCACTTTAAATATCAAATGTTCCTACGATGCTTCTTCGTTTCTTCTTATACCGCAAACCCTAAACCATGCCCTAAACCCCTAAACCGTGAAAGCTGCAACCGCTGGGAAGACAATTACTTAAGACTCTGTGCAACGAGTCTGTATAGTTTTGCGTCTAAAGCCCCCCCCTTCATTCTGAGGGCCCCCTATACCGTAACCCTAATTAAGTTCTAAACCGCACAAAACCCCCCTCATTCTGAGTATATCCTAAACGCTAAACTTCGCTAAACCTCTATATTACTGTGAGCTTTCTCTCCCCTGCATTGCCTCGACAGCGAAGGGATCCAAAGAAGCAGCCTCGGCAGGGCCATCGGAAAAACAAGCACACACACAGACGCAATTGGAACAATATATATATATATATCTTTATATACATATATACATATACACACAATACGGGGTCATATGACCCGAAAGCGGAATACTAGAAGCCCCAGTGCCGCGTGCAATAGCCACAAGTTGGAAGGCCGCATGTTTGAGATTCAGCGGCAAGGGACATGACGCTGTTGAAAGCACCGTGGCGGAAGCCCTTGGGCAGTTGTGCAGGGTAACCTGCATTGCTGGCAATGCTTTGGCCAGATGTTTCCTGCTGTACATGGCGTTCTGTTTTGCTGCCTGTGTTTTCTTGGCTGGTGAGATGCGCACGCTAGTGGCGGACTGTGCCGCATGTGTGTTGGAGCGGGCATGGTTTGCTCAAAGTGACCATGTGGGGTTTGGTCCTGCAATTTGCCTCCCCCTGCCCCTGGAGGAATAGGCTCAGGACAATGATGTTTGGTAGCCGATTTTAACGGTTTCTGCTGCGCTTAGTATAACCGGTCCTTCTGCCTCTTTATGTGTAAAGTGGTGCTGTGGTAGATTGGTAGACAGTGGACAACTTCTCCCTTTGGGGACAATGCAGCCTTGCCTGCAGCTGGCTTCCCTAAAGTGTGGACGTCGCTGTACTCTTGATTTTGAAAGGGGTGGGACAGCTTTTTGTTGCTGGTTCAATCCCATTTCAGCCCCTTTCCTTTGTGCGAGTCCATACTGGCCTACACTAGTCCGAACAGTTGTTTCTCTCTCTTTTTAATGCTTGCACACGGCTGCGTCCGACCCGGACTCTTTGCGCTGAAAGCGTCCTTTTTAACTAGCAGACACACACCGGCGCGCGTGGGCGCAAAACACTTGCACTTGGGAAACACCCAGACCACCGGAAGGATCTAATAAATAGATCCCCTAAGGGAGTTCCTTTAGAGTACCCCTTAGTAGTATAGGGTCCCACATTAGGGGATCTATTTTTGAGATCCTTCCGGAATTAGTTATTAGGGTACCTTATTTTGGTGTCCTTATAACAAGGATCCTACTATTTAGGGTACCATATTCAGGTCCCCCTATTTTCGGAAACCCCCACTTGGGAAACAAAAGCACGTCGCTGCAGTCACCGGGAAGCCGACATCGACTTTCATCTCCTCTGGCTCCTCCGGCTGCTCCTGCTTTCCGAATAGGGTTTAGGGTTTAGGGTTTTAGGGTTCAGGGCTTAGGGTTTAGGAATTAGGGTTTAGGGTTTAGGACTTCAGAGTTCGTTTAGGGTCTCGATAGGTAAAGGGCCCCCCAAAAAATTAGAATAGGGTATTGGAGGCTTCTTATACTAGATGTGTAGGAGTGTGGGAATGAACTCTAAGGACTTGTGTTGGTAACCATTCCGACCCTTGTATTGTGGCTTTGGCGATTCAGGTTTGGGCTGTTGGGTTCTAGAAGTTTTGGGTTTCTTGGGTTTAATAGGTGTTTATTGTAATCTCGGGTTTTGCGGGTTTTAGGGGTAGGGCTTGGGGTGGGGGGGCGAGGTCAGTTTTTTCTTAGGGCTTTGGGACCCCCTATGACCCACCCTACCTCTCAACAAAAAATCCGAAGCCGAATCCAACAGGCCTGCCAAAGCCCCTAAACCTTCAATCCTCAACCCCGCAAGCCTTTTCATTTTTTCGGGTTGGGGAAGGAAAAAATCTCCGAACCCAGGGCACCCCTGCCTTGTCCGCCTTCTCCTCGCCCTCCTCCGGCTTCTCCTGACTCCATGCGGAAAGAGTCGGAGGCCAGCACTGACGTGTAGGAGTGTGGGGAGATTGCGACGGGTTCTCACAGGCTTGTGGAACTATTTTATGGGGCTTCGCCAGGGTATATGAACATATATATTTATATGTATATATATATATGTATATGTACACACCTACATCTAGAGATATGTGTATATATATATATATATACACATACACATACACATGCACATACACATACACATACACATACGTATACATATAGATATACATATA